CTGCGGAGTGGGGTTTGCCATCTGGCAATGAGGTCTGCCATCTGAGCCAGTGAATGTATGAGCATTGCCCAAACTGTTGCCTGAGCAGCTGGTAAACTTTCCGGCTAGTCAGTGACGAAGCCTTGCTTTGACGTAATCCCAGCCTTCTTTTTCTGAAGGCCACAAAACGTGGTTGCGTTGCGGTGTAGGGTTTAGGATGAGTAAGTGAGCCTTGCTGTAGTCCATGTGGGCAGCCAAAACTCTTTGTTGACATCTAGCAGGTTTTTCCGAATGCACGAATGTGAGCCCGTCATATCATGCTCATTCGCTTCTGAAATGTTGAGCCTGTTGCAAGGTCGAAGCTGAGCGCCGTAGTCTTTTACGTAGAGCAACGCGCAGCATGAAAATCTGGATCCGAAATTGTCCGCTTGCAGAAAGCTAGGACAGGCAGACTCTACTGATCCGCCGCAGTTTGATTCGAGATTGTATGCTGCAGGGTGTGAGGATACAGACGAGGGAACCTGAACGAGCCCAGAGGTGGCGGGCAAATGATTTCACCCTTAGGACAAAGCCGGTGGTATAATACTCAGCTGCCAACTGAGTTTGATTGACTCCGGCATGTCTGGGACCTTCCACCGTTCTAATAGTGTTATACTACCCAAAGGGTGTGTAAGTGGGTTCCCTTGGTTTTTGCAGCAGATGGGGTGGGTTCCCTGTGGGTTCCCTTGTTTTTTGCAGCACTTCAGGTGGGCTACATATGGGTTCCCTTGTTTTTTGCAGCATTTCGGGTGGGTCTGTGTATGTTCTTCATTTAGCTTTCTTGTAGATTCCCATGGTTTTTGCAGCATGGACGGTGGGTTCCCTGTGGGTTCCCTAGTTTTTGCAGCATTTTTAAGTGGGCTTCCCATGGTTTTTAACAATATCGACGGTGGATTCTCTGTGGGTTCCCTTGTTTTTTGCAACACTTCAGGTGGGCAACATATGGGTTCCCTGGTTTTTTGCAGCATTTCGGGTGGTCTGTGTATGTTCTTCACTTAGCTGTCTTGTAGATTCCCATGGTTTTTGCAGCATGGACGGTGGGTTCCCTGTGGGTTCCCTAGTTTTTGCAGCATTTTTAAGTGGGCTCCCATGGTTTTTCACCGTCGATACGGTGGGTTCTTTGTTTGGTTCCTTGGTTTTTGCAGCATTTTGAAGTGGGTTCCCATGGTTTTCCAATAACCTCTTTTGGCTTTTGCAGCATGTCAGCTGGGTTCCCTGTGGGTTTCCTAGTTTTTGCAGCATTTTTAATGGGTTCCCATGGTTTAACAGCATCGACGGTGGGTTCCTTTTGGTTTTTTGCTTTTTGCAGCATTGCAAGTGGGTTCCCATGATTTTCCTAGCATATATTGCGCAAAGGTCTGGGCGGGCTCCCTTGGCTCTTGCAGTGTGTCAGCTCGGTTCCCTGTGGGGTACATGTGGGTTCCCATGGTTTCTCCAGCTCGCGCATTATGTTTCAGAGAAGAGTGGAACTGAAGAAGATGTTCAGGACAGTGGCTGCAGGTGTGGCCCAGTTCCATCGCACATCTTGCGCTGCATTTGGATTTGCTGCTTTGAAGTAAGGCTGCAAAAAGCACGTCTGCTATCTGCAGTTTGGGTCGAGACCAAAGACGTTAAACAGGCTCACCTCTGATGCACATGAGGCTCGCCGCCCTCCTGTGGTAATGCTCTTGATAAGTTTGCTGCGGCTAAATGCTGGCACGCTGATGCGAGGATTTTGCGGCATCTACTGGCAGATGTTAATCTCAGCTTGTAGCTTCAACTGTTTCGATTGCTTGCTGTACGTGGGCTGTTTTTGCGCTGGGAAGCTCCACTTGCAGGAGCTCTTTTTTCCTACAGAATCGTAGGAAGCCTCGAAGGGCCTCCCCTGTGCGGGAAAGATCTTGTACGAACAAGAACAGAAGCACTTGTCTTGAAACGGCAGCCGATGGCAAGTTTGGCAAATTTTCCAAAAGTATCTCACATTTCACAGCATGTTGGCTTTCTTGGACGTTGATCCAAACAGCATGCGGAAGGAATTTTGTTTTTCCGTGCAGTTTTCCAGCTGAAACGGGTTCCAAAAAGCAGCTCTAGTCCGGGCACCGAAACGGGGCTCCCGATTTTGGCTTTCTTCGTTGGACATACAAGCTCACGCAATTCGGGGCCCCAGATTCGAGCTCAGATGTGGGAGCCATTTCTGGGGCCCAGTTATGCCGTTTTTTCGTCGAGCAGATGCCACATCTGCGTGCACAGCTGGCCGTTGCGTGCAACAGTATATAAACCTCGCCAGCTCTGTTTTGCATTTTGCCGGTGTTCCTTCAAAACTCAAAATAACAAGTGGAACGCTCGCAAACATGTGAACTTTGCAAACAGAACTTTCTCACACAGAGGAGGCCCTTCCAAGCATCCTAGAGAACAGCTTCCGGAATTGGCTCCGTAATTCGAGCGTTCTTTTGGCCCATGTGTTGCAACGATGTCCGACGTGGAAGCACCTCCTGTTCCTCCCCCTCAAAGAGTGGAGTTGCCGCAGGAGTGTAGAACGTCCTTCGTAAATAAATGGTCCTTCCTCGTCTGCCTGTTGCTAGGAGACTTTGTCCGCCCGTCTGGCCCGCCTGCGACAGGAGCGTCAGGATGCAAAGGTGTGGTATTGTCTGCGTGTCTACAAGATGTCTTGATTGTCTTTCGTCCAAAGCAGGTAGAAGCGCGCAGAGTCGCTAAGATCCTGAAAGCAGAGCAAAAACGACTTCGCAAGGCATGGTTCTGTCTGCTGCCCCGTCGAATGTAGATGTTTGAACTTGCCCAGGCCAAAACAGTAGCACGGCAGCTTTCTGAATCGCAGTAATTAACCCTTGTCGTTTCTCACACGATGGCGCGAATGTTTTAACGCGCATTGAGCCCGGCACTGAGAGTGATCAGCGGTCAGTGAGCTTCGCTGTCGCCTCTCTGGTGTTGAACTGTTGCCCCAGCAGCGAGTATCTGTTGAGCAGTGACTAAGCTCTGCCAGCTTTTAGTACGTGAGTCAGTGAGTGTGAATGAGTGAGCTTTGCTGCGACGAACGGCTGCCTGCAGCGCGTAAATTCTTCTTCGGTGTCGGGTGAGCAGTGACCAAGCTTCGCTCTTTCTTTTCCAAGGGAATGAATGTTTACGGCTTTGAGCCCGGCGCTGAGAGTGGTCAGCGGTGCGAGCCCTGCCGAAGCAGTGGGTGAGAGAGCTTGGCTGTGACCCGAACTGTTGCGTGGCAGCTAGTAACTTCTTCGTCTTCGGTTGAGCGTGAGCGGTTCAGCAGTGTGCAAGCCTTGTCTGAGGCAGGGCACGAATGTTTTACGGGCTTTGAGCCCGGCACTAAAAGCGATGACTCTGCGGAGTGGGGTTTGCCATCTGGCAATGAGGTCTGCCATCTGAGCCAGTGAATGTATGAGCATTGCCCAAACTGTTGCCTGAGCAGCTGGTAAACTTTCCGGCTAGTCAGTGACGAAGCCTTGCTTTGACGTAATCCCGGCCTTCTTTTTCTGAAGGCCACAAAACGTGGTTGCGTTGCGGTGTAGGGTTTAGGATGAGTAAGTGAGCCTTGCTGTAGTCCATGTGGGCAGCCGAAACTCTTTGTTGACATCTAGCAGGTTTTTCCGAATGCACGAATGTGAGCCCGTCATATCATGCTCATTCGCTTCTGAAATGTTGAGCCTGTTGCAAGGTCGAAGCTGAGCGCCGTAGTCTTTTACGTAGAGCAACGCGCAGCATGGGAAATCTGGATCCGAAATTGTCCGCTTGCAGAAAGCTAGGACAGGCAGACTCTACTGATCCGCCGCAGTTTGATTCGAGATTGTATGCTGCAGGGTGTGAGGATACAGACGAGGGAACCTGAACGAGCCCAGAGGTGGCGGGCAAATGATTTCACCCTTAGGACAAAGCCGGTGGTATAATACTCAGCTGCCAACTGAGTTTGATTGACTCCGGCATGTCTGGGACCTTCCACCGTTCTAATAGTGTTATACTACCCAAAGGGTGTGTAAGTGGGTTCCGTTGGTTTTTGCAGCAGATGGGGTGGGTTCCCTGTGGGTTCCCTTGTTTTTTGCAGCACTTCAGGTGGGCTACATATGGGTTCCCTTGTTTTTTGCAGCATTTCGGGTGGGTCTGTGTATGTTCTTCATTTAGCTTTCTTGTAGATTCCCATGGTTTTTGCAGCATGGACGGTGGGTTCCCTGTGGGTTCCCTAGTTTTTGCAGCATTTTTAAGTGGGTTCCCATGGTTTTTAACAATATCGACGGTGGATTCTCTGTGGGTTCCCTTGTTTTTTGCAACACTTCAGGTGGGCAACATATGGGTTCCCTGGTTTTTTGCAGCATTTCGGGTGGTCTGTGTATGTTCTTCACTTAGCTGTCTTGTAGATTCCCATGGTTTTTGCAGCATGGACGGTGGGTTCCCTGTGGGTTCCCTAGTTTTTGCAGCATTTTTAAGTGGGCTCCCATGGTTTTTCACCGTCGATACGGTGGGTTCTTTGTTTGGTTCCTTGGTTTTTGCAGCATTTTGAAGTGGGTTCCCATGGTTTTCCAATAGGCTCTTTTGGCTTTTGCAGCATGTCAGCTGGGTTCCCTGTGGGTTTCCTAGTTTTTTGCAGCATTTTTAATGGGTTCCCATGGTTTAACAGCATCGACGGTGGGTTCCGTGTGGGTTCCTTGCTTTTTGCAGCATTGCAAGTGGGTTCGAGCTTGGAGTTCAGTGTTCCGGCCGGCGCCCGTGTAGATTTTAGGGTTTAGGGTTTAGGGGATGTTCTTGTTTTCAATGTAATGTGGCTGTTCTTCCACTTTGTTGCTTAGACCCTCCGAACGAGCTCTTGTAGATTTGCTTTTGGACAGGTGTCAAGCTGCTGTGCAGAATTTCGAGTATTCTGTGACTGTGTGTTATGTGCGAACATGTGCCAGTCTTAACCATGGCATGACATGCAGCCGTTCATATCTCAGATCTCAATTTCAATGAAGCAAAATTAGTGTGCAAAGCTCACTTCCGTCATGATTCAGGTGACTGGGATTGCAAGTGTGCATGCCGATTGAAAAGTCGGAGTCGGAACCGGAAGCCCTATTGATGAGTTTTGTTTTGGCTTTGTGTGGGGCCTGTTCTCCCGTTCAGCTGGCAAGCGGAGTGCATGTTTCGGGTTTGCATGGGGATGGCAGTGATTCCTAAGAACTGCAAGGAGCTTGTGTTTACCCTCCGCACTGCCTGGAAAGACGAGCGTTTGAACTTTAAATCCGAAGCTCAGCTGTCTGCAATCGAGGTGAGCCGCTTTCTGGTGATTACGTGGCTGGTCGGGCCACTTGGATGGCTCGCTGGAGGTCCCTGCGTCCAAGCATACAAGCTGGCCGAGACGCCCATCAATATCACCAATTCAAACGACTCGACAGTGGTTCGTGAGGCCGCGGTGGTTCGGAGTTGTGACGAGAGTTGTAGCGAGTCAATGCCTCATTCCTTCATCCTGACCACTTAGGTGGAGCGATTGTTGGGGAAGAACTTGGTGCATGATGCAGGTGAGATGAACTCAATGCCCGAGCCGCACGAGGCCTCCGGCCAGAAGAGTCGAACTGCTCACCGAATGCGAAGGTTTTGGCTAGCTGCAGCTGTTTTCACTCACTGCCAGGAAAACGCCACTAATGGCACTGGAATGCAGAGTCTGGCCAAAAACTTGGAGTTCCTGCTGCTCAAGGTGGCTGGGTTGAGGGTGAGGGGGGCCGGCTACCCAAAAATCCGAGGTCTTGTTAAGCAATTTAGTTGAATTTACTTGAGTACAGTGCTGTAGTAAATATTATGATATGGCCTCCCGATTTTGGAAACTTAAGCAAGAGCCCAGAAAAGGCATGGCAAGTCAGCTACCTAAACCCTATCTTGTGAAACGCAGGTGGGGCAACTGGAGACGGTGGTGCAACTGCAGCAGGCCGAGCTCGACGCTGCGCATACCGAAATCGATGCCTTGAAAGAGCATGTTGGCTGCTTGGCTGCGCTTTCGGCGATGATCATTTGTATTGTTATGATTGGTAGTAGTATTCTTCTTTTTTATTATTGCTATTATTATTTCTTTTATTTATTGGTACTACTACTTTTCGTGTTGGCAAATTGGTTGCTTGCCTGCTCTTGCCGCACCTGTTGCAGCCTGAATCCGCGTGTGAAGCCGGATGTTAAAGCTAAGGCTTGGATGTCCAGCACGTCGCAATGGCAAAGAAGAGAAGCCGGGATCCTCATGCAGCGGGGGACGTCCTGAAGAGCGTCCTTCACAAGCACCACCGCCAGCGCGAGACGAGAAATCACGATCCCGATGCCCACAAGGCGCCCGAGACCTGTCCCGGAGTGTCCAGAGAGACCTCATGTGGCCTGAGAAAAATGCCCGGCAGGACCTTGTGACTGACGACCCCGAGGTTGCGCCGGCACAGACTGAAAGCCCTGCAGAGGCTTTGCTGCAACGCGAGGCAGGAAGAGTTTCAAGTTTGCTTGACGCCTCATTAAACTTTATGGAGCAAGGGAAAGTTCTCAGAATTCGCGATGGTCAGGTGCATGAGACCCCACAAGTTTTGGCTACAAAACTCTATTGTGACCTGCTTGCTGCACAGGCGCAGAGGAAGAGGTCGGAGAAGGAAGAGGTTTCACACCATTCCTTAGACGCGAGCCTCTCCTCCAAGATTCCATTTGTCGACGACATCGCAGACGCGGTCGAGACCGTCTCGGGCTCGGGCCTGGTGCCTGCCGACTTGAAAACAGCTTTCGACAGGGTTGCCGAAGTCGACCAAGTACGGTTTGTGCAGAATACGGTGATCGACACCGTCGCGAAGGCAGCCACCGTTTTGACCCGTAAGCCCCAAAGCCTAATATACCCTAAACCTTCAAGCCTAACCCCTTCAAGGCAACCGTCATTCTGCAGGGCTTCACCAACGGCTTCGACTTCAGAGAGAATTGTGACCTGCCCAGACCAAGTTTCAGTTACAGGTCCAGTTCCCCGCCTTCTTTTGTCATGAACTTCGGTCGCCAACGGTGCACAGTAACGCTTGTGGGCCAAACCATCGAGCTCTTCGACAACAACATTGGTGAGCTAAGCGTCCCCTTGCCGAATCCGCTGGACCATTTGCCCGAGCAGATACGGAAGGTTGCTGGGGCCAGTGAGGAGATGATCGACAGGCTCATCAGCATGTCTTGGAATTTGTTGAACACCGCCCACTGCAACAGAGGCGACACCTTCCACTGCATGGCCAAACGTGTTGCAACTTACGTCATGCAGTTCGAGCCGCCATTGAACTGGCTTCCAGAACCAATCAAGCGTGTTGCTGCACATACCCAGGAGGCGGTCGACAGGTTGTTCCAGATGATCCACGTCCTGCTGAACACCGCCCACTGCAACAGAGCCGACAGCTTCCACTGCATGGCCAAACTCGTGGCGAATCATGTCCAGGACTTCGCGCCCCCCATGAACTGGCTACCAGAGCAGCTGCACACTGTCGTCAATGCAGGCCAGGAGGGTGTCGCCAGACTCTTCGCGATGGTCCGTGATCTTCTGAACACCCCGCACTGCGACAGAGGCAACATTTTCCATTGCATGGCTAAGAAGGTGGCAAACTACGTCCAGGAGTTCGCGCCGCCATTGAACTGGCTACCCCAGCAGCTGCACACAGTCGTCAATGCGGGAGAGGAGGGTGTCGCCAGGCTCTTTGCGATGATCCGTGACCTTCTGAACACAGCGCATTGCGACAGAAACAATGTCTTCCACTGCATGGCTAAGAAGGTGGCAAACTATGTCATGGAGTTCGCGCCCCCCATGAACTTCTTGCCCCAGCAGCTGCACGCCGTCGTCAACGCGGGCCAGGAGGGGGTCGACAGGGTCTTCGCTATGATCCGTGACCTTCTAAACACAGACCATTGCGACAGAGGCAACATTTTCCACTGCATGGCCAAAAGAGTGGCGGGCTATGTCATGCAGTTCGAGCCGCCATTGAACTACATGCCCAGTCCGGTCGGTCTTCTTGCCGGTTCAGATGTCAACTCCATCCAAAGCCTGGTGACCATGGGGAATGACCTGCAGAACTGCCAGGATTTCGAATCCGGTCATGATGTCATGAAATGTCTGGGCTTCAAGATCATGGAGCGGGTGCCTCCTTTGAACTACCTGAACAAGCTTGGTGACACGATCGGCGTGTACCTCGAGACCTTTGCAAAGGCGGGCACCTCCTTGGCCATGAAGGCTTTGCAGGGAGGTGGGAGCTTCCGAAAATCAGGGACCCTAAGATAGTACCCCTAAAACCCCAAAAAACAAGGTACCCCTAATCTTCGGCGAAACTCCCAGGTACCTCCCTCATCCAGAAGGCCAGCCTGTCCGAGTTCCCGGCCGTCGGAAAGATGCCGGTGCGCCATGAGCAGGGCAACCTGGTCGTGCAGATGCACTCGCAGAAGAGGACGCCGCATCCCTCCCTCTTGCAGCTGATGTCGGAGCAGGGCCGCCAGGCGGGCCGCCAGGGCCGGGAGGAGGACGTGATTATGCCAAAGTTTGCACCTGGCGACGACGCCAAAGTCACGAATCTCATCACCCAGTTCCACGGCAGGGAGGCGAATTCGGGCTCCTGCCTGGCCTTCGCTCCCCGGAACAAGAACGGGGCTCAGGTTGGCAACCACCAGGAGGCGACGAAAGAGGACTGGACCTCGGCCAAGAAGGAGGACTTCGTCGCGCTGGAGCCTTGGGCGGTGCCCTGCGACAACACCTGGATGAAGGCGCGATAAAATCATCATCGAATCATCAACACACTGTCGCAGTCGCAACTGATTTCACGTGAGAGGTGCCGCTTGTCAGGTTTAGGTGGAGTGAGCGACTGAGAGGGACTTCGTGTGTGCATGTGCAAGTGCTCAAGGAGAACTGGAACAAGTGGCAGGGCTACTCCTTCTACACCGGGGAGGTGGGAATCGAGAAGTGCCTGCAAGTTGACTTTTCCATGACGTTGCAGCCGGTGCTGGCCGCCATCGTGGGCCTAAGTATCGAGATTCTGCCGAAAGACTTCCTGTCTGTTGGCACCACCGTGTGTTGGCCGACCCAGATGCCGGGTGGCCTTGATTTGTCCGTCCTCCGTTCGACGATCAAAGCGGGTGGCCACCTCCTCTTCAGCCGGACCTTGCGGCTTGCGAAAAGGTTCGGCGAAAACACGGACTTCGTGAAGAAGAACCTGGGCACCGGCTACCAGACCTGGAGAAGCCCTCTTGGCATCGCCAAAGGCGAGAGCAATACTGCCTTTGCGCCCATGTCGCTCCTGGAGAGCAACAAGGGCAACAAGAGCCAGGGCGAGAGCGAGGGTGAGAGTGAGGAGAAGTTGAAGGCTGGTTCCTGGTACTTCAACGCCGATCCTGAGGAGGTCTACCTGGCTTCCATCGACTACGGCGACTCCATGGGTGAACCCAACAGGACCTGGGAGATGCGAGGGAGGGATGCCCTGCTTCGCTTGCAGGCGATGCAGGAGGCGAAGACGAAGAAGGAGAAGGAGAGCAAGAGCCAGGAGGAAGAGGGCCAGGAGGAGGTCATCGAGCTCTTCAACTTCAAAATCCAAACGGGGATGAACAACTACCACATCCAAGGCCTCCTCGACGGTAACATCCTGGAGTTGGGGGTACAGATGGGCTGGGGACCTTTCCAGAGCCCTGCCAAGAGGATTCCCGTGGCGGACTTCGGCCTGCAGTTTGCCGCAGTCCTGGCCGCCATCCCCTGGATCTCCGTGGAGACCAAGAAGACGGCCATCAAAGCGATGACGGACTGGGCATGGCCAGAGGAGCAGGAGCTTGAGAAGCGGCAGCCAGCGGATCCGTCTTCCATGGTGGCCTGGTTCAAGAGCGAGGATGCGAGCGCGGAGTGGAAAAGTTCGGTGGGTAGCTGGCAGGCTCGCGTGACGAGGGGCAGCCCCACCAGAAAGGTTGAGACAGGCCACGGTGCCGAGTTTCCTGTTGTGCACCTCGCCGGCGACGCCCACACCGGAATTGACTTCGGCGTGATCATGAAGCCGGACTTCACCATTTGCTCGGTCACCCGCTATCTCGGAGGAACAAATAAGCGAATTCTCCAGCACAATAACCCCAACTGGCTTCACGGCCACTGGGAGGGAGCGGTGGGGGTTGCTTTCTACAACCACAACTGGGTGTACCAGCACGGTTGGGGCAAGCCACCCACGGACTGGCTGGTGATGTGTGGCAACAGTGCAGGGGCTATTTTCCGGGGTCAGGAGATGAGGAACATCGGAGAGGGGCACGTGGAGAAGGCAAACGGAGACTCTCACTTGTACATCAACGACGGCCATTTTACTGAGTCCTCGGACTTTGGTGTCATGGAGGTCATCGTTTGGAATCGGGCACTTTCGGATGGCGAGATGTTGACCAGCATGGAGTACCTGAACTCGAAGCTCGGCCCCCTTCGACCGCAACCGGCCGGCATGTCTTCCATGGTGGCCTGGTTCAAGAGCGAGGACGCCGACTCCACTTGGAAAAGTTCGGTGGGCGGCTGGCAAGGCCGCGTGACGAAGGGAAGTGTCACCAAAAAGGTCGAGGGCGGCCACGGTGCCACAGTTCCTGTTACGTACCTCACGGGTGACTCCACTGCCGGATACGACTTCGGCCGGATCATGAAGAAGGACTACACGATCTGCTCGGTCACCCGCTATGTCGGAACAGGGAGAAAGGGGCGAATTCTCCAAACCAACAGTCCGAACTTCCTTCATGGCCACTATGCTGGCTGGGTGGGGGTTGCATATTACAACACGTGGGTGACACAGCACGACGGGACCTCCTTCTCCCCCTTGACCGACTGGCTGGTGATGTGTGGCAACAGTGCGGGGTTGCTCTACCGAAACCGAGAAAGGAAGAATGTGGGAATAGCCCCAGCGGCGAAAATAGATGGAGACTTCCACGTCTTCATCAACGAGGGCTTCGTCGAGCATGACTCATCGGAGTTTGGTGTCATGGAGGTCATCGCATGGGACCGGGAACTCTCGGAAGAGGAGATGTGGAGCAACATGGAGTACCTGAACTCGAAGCTCGGACCTGCTCTCCAGCCGGCTGACAAGGCATCCATGGTGGCTTGGTTCCAGAGCGGGGATGCCTCCTTATCTTGGAAAAGTTCGGTGGGCGGCTGGCAAGGCCGCGTGACGAAGGGAAGTGTCACAAGACAGGTCGAGGCTGGCTTCGGGGCCACATTTCCGGTTGCGTACCTCACTGGCGACGCCCTTGCCGGATACGACTTTGGCCGGATCATGAAGAAGGACTACACGATCTGTTCGGTCACACGCTACGTCGGAGACGGAGCAAAGGGGCGAATTCTCCAGAATAATCATCCGAACTGGTACCATGGCCACTATGCTGGAGGCAAGGGGGTTGCTTATTATGGCACCTGGGTAAGTCATGATTATCAGCACACGGGCTTGACCGACTGGCAAGTGATGTGCGGCAACAGCGCGGGAGTCCTCTTCAGGGGCAAGGACAGGGTGAACATCGGTCAGAACCCAGCGGCGAAGTTTGATGGAGACTTCCACCTGTTCATCAACGAGGGCTTCGTGGAGGAGGCATCCCGATTTGGCGTCATGGAGATCATCGTCTGGGGCCGGGAGCTCTCGGAAGAGGAGATGTGGACCAGCATGGAGTACCTGAACGCAAAGCTCTCTGGTCCTCAGTGAGGCGAAGTGGTGAGGCTTTGTGCTGGGCATTTGTCGCAGCCTGCAGAGGGAGAGAGGAAATGCTTGCAGGGGCCTCAAGTACTCAGTTTCTCTTCGCACCTCTGAGCGGGGCCGCAAAAAGGCATTCCGCGCTTGCCGCTGTATCCTTGCAAGCGATTGCCGAGATTGATTTCTGAGAGCTGCTTTCACCTTGTGCAGACTGGAGTCTGGTGGCTCTAGACTGGGTCCTTGTTGATGCAGCACGTAGCACAACGCTCGTGTTGCGTCGCACTGCACGCCGTCGCCGCTGTTTTTGCTTGCTGGCAACTTAGTTTTCCTGTGAGTGTGTGTTGGTGGCAGTCCAGACATTCCAGAAACCAAGTTGTGAGAGATGTGCACACGTCTACAACAAGGCATCTAGCATGTCCAGCACCTGCTTACTCTTTTCAGTGTATGGCTCATCAGTTTGACTGAGCAGTCTTGCTTTTCAAGGTTACATACAGTGGCTGAATGGTCAACCGCCCGGCACTCAGGCGTGACCTCCGACGCTTTCCCACCGACGTCGAATACTGCATGGAGCGAGCGTTTCCTCCAACACCTACCCGCAATGCAGGAAGTCTTCCATCTGCTGCCCGAGCAAAGCTTTTGGGTCTGCGGACGTCGCCGCGGCAGCGGACGTGAGGTGCGCTTTCAATTCTGGGCAAGAGAGGTCCGCGTAGAGGCGAGTCGGAAGGGCGTTGGACCTTCGGAGGTCCGTAGCAATGCAGTCAAAAACCTCAACACCTGGTGTCCCGCCGCGGCTCTTCCTGGTCCTTGCCGAGGACTTGGAGCGATCCCCCGCGATGGCTCCGCGAAGAAGCTTCCGCGACCCTCTGCTGCATACGGCAAATATCACATTCAGCAATGTCTGGAGTTTGCCTGAAGGCTTGAAGCAATCAACAAGATAAAGCTGTGCATGTCTTTGCAGGACTGTCTTGCAGTGGGCCTGAGGCATGGAAGGCCAGAGCGGTTTGAGAACGCTGAGGTTTATCCGGAGCCACATGGACTTCATTAAGGAGGGGGCAGAAGGAGGGTTCTCAGCTAGAGATGGAAAGCCTCCGCAGAGGTTCGTCTGACCGGCCGAAGGTATATGGGGTTTCCGATAATTAGGGGTACCTTATTTTGGGGTCCTTGTAATCAGGATCCCACTGTTCAGGGCTACTATGAAATTTTCGGTGAGTTGGTTCCCGGTTCATGACGGACGGGTCCATGCCGCTGAAGGCAGCGCGCTGATATCGGAGCTAAGTGAAACTCAGGGTATCCTATGGTATCCTCCTCCCCAGGATAAGCAAGGCCGGGGCCGTTGTTTCCCGAGCCGGCTTATAGTTTCGACGATTTGAGGACGACTCGAAGTTTTTCCAAGCCGTTCGCAACGACGATGCTCCCAGTCACAGAGTGCAGCAGAGTGCGGGACGCAGCAGCCATTCAATCGAAGTCCCTCTTGCCGAGGCAATTTTCCTGGACTATGAAACGATTTCATCACGGCCCGCCCGAGATGCAACATCTCAATGCCGCTTGGAGCTGGACATGGGGAGCTTCATGTTGTGCTTACCTTGGATGTCGTGATGCTCATTTTTTTAAAAAGCTGGTTCCGAAATCTGGAATGTCTCAAGCAGGGTTCTCTCGCTTGAAAGGCTGAGGTCCAAGGGAAGAGGCAGTGCGAGTGACCGGTGACCCCAGCCTTACCTTACAAGCTAAAGGTCTTGGAAGAGGTGGCCAAGCTCTTCGACCATTGTGTTCAAGGATGCGGCCTGGCAGGACGAAAAGCGCACTGCGTTGCAAGACGTTGTTGTGGCAAGGGTCATGAGATTTCCATGTCTTCCTTCGCTCCGAGTCCTACTCTACTGATGCTGGACTTGGCAAGTCATGAGCATCTTGAGGTTACCCTGACACAGTCATACTAGAGAAAATTCCCAAACCCTCTAACCGAATAATTCCATCGTCAGGCACCTGACCATTCGCGGTCACGGGCGCTTGCTGTCCATCCGCTCCCTGGAGGAGGTCTTGTACGGCCCTCGGCGCGGGGGGGGGGGGGGGGGGCCAGGAAGAACAGTTGAAGGTCGCAGGTTTTGAGTTTCCTGTTGCATAAACGGTGCCGGCATGTCCATCAGCCCATGCGCTGCAATCACAGGGAGGGAGCAGACTTGAATTTCCTGACTTTGCTAACTTAAGAAATCAAATTCCTTACAGCCCCTTATAAAACGACGCTTAAAGAAATCTCCAGCCCATTCAGTCATGGCAACTTAAGTTTGGCTCCCTTGGCAACTTTGACCTCTAACTCCAAGTATTCATTGGATATTGCTTGAAAGGAGGCAAGACTTCAAAAGGAATTCGTAAGTTGCTGAGCAACAACCCAGCCAAGGCAGCGGCTGAGTGAAATCCGTGACCTCTACCAGGCGATCTGGGGACCTGTTATAAGTACACTGGACGAACATTGCGTTTTCAGGCCCCTGTTATGTCTACAAGTATAGGCTTAGTAGACTTGGAGGTTGTTGGTTTGGGTTTGGCAGGTTGAACAACATGAACGAGAAAGGATGTAGTAGCCGAAGCTTATGGGCTGGTTTTCAGTCACTGTGGAAGTTGGTAAAGCTGGAGGAGGCTTCTTAGCGATGCCCTAGTCATCAAAATTGAATGAGCGAGGGCTTGGAGTTCAGGCTTATGTGAGGCCTCCAGCAGCTCTGAGCTTCGGAGCTTGGGCGGACTTTCTGGCTGACATTCAGAGCCCAGGTGCAAAGGCTCAGGGCTTTAGTTTTTCAAGGTATAACCGGCACTCACAGAGACACGGATGTAAGAAAAGAGAATAACATAGCATAGCATAGTAGAGCTGTAGTCCCCTGCTCCTAAGGTCTTAAATTCTGCTAGGACGCCTGTGAGACAGGAGAAGGATTTGAGGGGACGCGCTCGGCTTTGGCCGCCACTTCGGGATGACGTTAGGTGGGTTTCAGTAAGGACAGGGTGCTTTATCCTAAGCAGGATCTTGCCATTGAGCGTCTGCATTAGGTCAATCAGGGTCCCTCCTTACCCTAAACCTAATATCCCTGAAGCCCAACCCCAAACCCCTAGAGGTGCCATTGTGACTCTTGGGTGACTTCTCGGGCTGAGAGGCCGCCCAGCCCTTCCAAAACCGGTATCGGTACACCTTCCACATGGAAGTCTTGACGGAGGCATCCATCAGGACCGCTTGAGAAATTAAGATTAAGTGGGCCCAGACATGTGTGATGCTTTAGGCGCACAGTCGCGCAAGTAAAATGCCAATCGCGGCAACTTCGTGTCGTTGTGTGGAAGAATGAATGTAGTTTGAATATTGATTGTTTGAGGAATGTTTGTTTGAAAGATACTCACACCTCCACAAGGGCGCCTGCTCTCAGGACGAGCCCCTTGCGCCCGCCGAAGGCACCGATCCAGCCGAAGGCATCTCTCCAGGCCGGGGGTTAAAATTGAGGGTGGAGGTCGTAAGTTTAGCCTTCGAGGGCTTAGAGGTAAGGGTTGCCGTGTGCATCAGTCGGACGTGTGGCAACAGAGGCTTATGTTTGGGCTCATGCAGGCCATGTTAAAGCTCCCACCATTGAAAACTTGACCGAGTCAACCCTAAGCCCAAACCCCTGAAGATCTACAGCTCCCATTCCTTCATCGTGAAGTTGACGGCCTTTTGGTACATGATTGAATCCGGTTAGCCTGAAACTTCAAGCCCTCAGCGATACCAAAACCAAAGAAGGTTGAGGGCTTGGGTTATCGCGACCACCAAAGGTTAGCACCAAGCAAAAGCCACAAAACCATGATACCTGGTAGTTGTTCAAAGTACCTGTCCCCAAAATGGTACACTCCATCTCCTTTATCGCAAGCAGCCCGACAATCCTGCACGCGGAAAACCACACGCGAAGCCTTGAACACTGAAGCCCTGAAGCTCCCGACGGTTCACGCCCCATCGTGGTTCTGAAGTTCGGCCGTCTGCGCAGTATGTGCAGCAACGTGGCAAAGCAGGTGCGGGCTGACGACGTTTTCTGGGCAGCCGGGGACATGCTTCTGACAAATGGAAGCGGAGCGGCAGCCGAGCGCGAGAAGCTCTTGCACAGCAATGTCAAGCTGGAAGGTGAGCAAAATCTCTGCAAGGTTTGCTTGAGAGTACACCACAATGCTGAGTCATGCATAACGCATGCAACATAGGATGTCTTCGCGCACGTGCTCGTAGTGCAGCAAAGCATATGTTCAGTGCAAGACAGACACCGCTCGAGCCCGAAAGCCCAACTCATGATTGTCATGCAATTTGCTGCTATTCACGAGTTCGTCTTCAAAGCCAGTTCATTGTATACCATCAATTGAAGCATATTTCAGCTGAAGAGTTTCTGCAGAACATTACTACCATAAATTGGCCAGTGAAAGAGTATGTAACAATGCACAAGTCATGTGAGCAGTCTAGGCGCCAGTGCACTACTGCCATGATGTACTCGATGAAGCCATTTGAGGTCAAATGAAGGGGTTGACGAAAAGTGTCTGCAGGTGCCACCAAGCTTTGTCGAATTGTGGCAGGTCGTATCTCACCTAACATCAAACGGGACTCTCATAGCAATAAAGTGCGGACAGCCATGGCAGTCGAAAGTTGGTGGGCTCAGGCGCAAGTCAAGCATGCGGACTCGTTGGTGTTCTACCGCATGCGGGGCTTCCCACCCTGGCCTGGTCTGGTGCTGCCATGCAAGCACCGTAGCTATCTCCAAGGGCCCATGAATCCGTTGTGCCCGCCGGAAGATGCGATCTTCGACCGGGTTCAAAATTGCATTCAGCGGGGCAAGGCCAGGTTTCGCAGTGATCTGAAGGTTCCCGGCCGGGTCGATGCAGGGATTGTTGATGATGTGCACACATTTTGTCAGGGCATGAAGCGTGGTGACACGATCATCGCTCGGGTTCGTGAAGACGCGGACGCGGGCTCGGACAGCGATCTGAGCTTCAGGGGGCTCGTGCCCTTGCCCGAAGCGAGGGCGAAGGCGAAGATTCTGCGGGTTTTCCAGAAGCACCTGGAGGTGCGCTACAAGAGGCGGGGGCGCCTCAAGGAAGCACCGAGTTTCTGAGTCAGAAGACGTCCCGTCCCGTTCAGGAGTGGCGTAACAGCCAAGATCCCGAAGTCTTGGGGGGAGTTGCTGTCACGATCTGTGCCACAACAGCAAGCTGCAGGCTACGAGCCGGAAAGCTTGCAGTTCATGGGGGTTCAGTTGCAGCTGCAGTGCTACAGCTTAAGCCCGTGGAAGCGGCTGCAGGCAAAGTGAAACGTGCGAGCGGCAAAGTGCGGGACGTGGCGCTCAGAGGTTCCGAGCGTGGCCAAGTTCCCTCAGGCCAGGCTATCTCGAACGGTGTGAGCACTCGGGGTTAAACGATAGCAAGGGGTCTTGATGCAGTTCAGTCATTGCCATGGAAAAGAGGGAGTATGCGTGGAGTTCTATTGAGGTGATGAGGATTTGCGAGGCTTGATTTTGATGTGCTCTCGTGCCAGGATCGTATTAGCCCCTCGTCCCGCTTCCCCGATCCGATCCAGCGAGTCTGGATCCAGACCGTTGTGATGGCACGCGTTGTAGCTTTTGGGTTTGGAGCTTGCGGCAAGGATGCCCTGAGCGCAGTTAAGGCAAGCGTCCAGCATAAAGCAGCATCCCACCATGTCCTGATCCATGAAGGCTTCGTCATCGTCTACAGCTACGGTGATGAGCTACTTGGTCTTGATGCCAGGTGTAACCTTTCCGTTACGACTTTGGATTTCAAGTGCCTCCGCGAGTCCGGTACAGGTCGGCGTGCAAGGTTACACCAGCACAAAGTGCGGAAGTCTCGGTGTCAACAGCAAAGCTGTGAACATGTTGAAAGGGAGCAGCAGGGTATCACCTTCAATCCGCAGTTGTCATGGTGTTGTCCGTTCCCGGAAGTGGATCTGCATCACAGCGCTTGATGCCGCATCATACTTGCACACACCGCTGAGGATGTATCGAAAAGTCCGGGCACAGTCGCTCATCCGGTACAAGCCTGAAGAGGCAAATCGGACCTTCCGCGGCAAATCGCTGCGGTCTTGCCTCCAGACTATCACAGAGGCTTCCGTGCGGGAGAAATGGTCAAAGTTGTGAACATCGTAGCTGTTGAGAGCAGAAGTTTGGCTAGCTGTTTGAGGCAAGTCACCGCGGTTTCAACGGGAACTTGGCCCTCCGCGAAATCCAAGCGGAATGGGAGCGGCGGCAGGGAATACAGCAGCAGCAGGCGGAGCTCGAGCAGTACCGTGCTCACCATAACCTGCCTCCATCAGACTTGCCCAAGCCTCACAACGTGTCCAAGCTGCAAAGAGTGCGGAGGATAGGGGTGAGCAGTTAGCAGCACGGTTGATCATTCGATTTAGTTCTTTTCAGTCTGTAACAAGGACTCGGACAGCTCCGAGGAGGAGGATGAGGCAGCGTCGGATGCAGAAGAAGAAGACCCATGGGGCACGGAGGAAGAAGCCGCATCGCAAGACACATCGACAGAAGAGGAGTGACAGTATGCGAAGTCTGAGTCGGAACGAACAAGTTGCAGGATTCGTCATATGTCTTTCGACATTGAAAGCGAAACAGTAACAACTCTCAACAAGACGGTGAAGTTGAGAGCTTGCAGGACTTTCCAAAGGCTGCTCCACAGGTGCCTCGAGCCGCGAAACTGCACTTGGGCCGTTTGAAGACTGAAGATGCCGCCATTGCAATCAGAAATTTGCAGGAACTGTACTTATGCCTTTCGCGCAGCCGTAACACCTTAGATAGGCACACTAAGTCCCTTTGCAGTATTCAGTGTCTGCTTGCTTTCATCCTGCGTTTGTTCGTGGATTCGCGGTCCAGCCGGGGAGGGCTGCAACTTGCATTGTTTCTAACGCTTGTAAAGGTTAATGAGCAAGGCTCACGTTTTGCCAACGTCAAAATCATATCATATGTGTTTTAGTTTCGTCGAACAAGTCTAGCAAAACCAGTGCTGGGCCATTTGCTCCCCGGCCAAACTGTTTGGGTGAATCCGCAGGCAGACTCTTCAGTGCTCGGTGCCACTCCCGTCGACTTGATGGCTAAGGCAAGCTGCGGAAGTGCGCCACGAAACATTGCGACCCCAGTGGCTCGGACGGAAACGGGAGGCATGGTGCTAAGCTTCGCTTTGGAGTTTTTCATGTTCAGCAAAATTTGCAGAGCCAGAGAGTTTGTGCAAGCTCAGGTTGCCAACGCCGTTCGACGTTCAGCGGCTGCCGTGCCCGTCCACTTGCAGGGCCACATCGTTCCCTTCTACGAGTATCCTGGCTTGCACTGCGGCGCCTGCTTGTTAGATTGAGCTGACTTTTGCCCATGGCTTCCGGTTTTGGCTGGAGGGAGCAGTGCCGTTCCGAAAGGCAGCTGGAGAGCACGGAGACAAGCTTCAGCCCAAAGGGATCTGAGATCGAGGACAGCCGCTGATCTGGTTCTCTTGCTGCCACGGCGACAGTAAGTTTGCCAGGCTTTGCGAGAAGAAGGGGTGCTCTTGGGGTGTTGGTCTGACGTGTCTGAGCCCGGACAATGTTTGTTGCGGTATGCCATAGTACCCTTGCGCCGTACGCCCCACACCATGAAAGGCTCTAAGGCCCAAGTCCCAAACCTTCAAAATTATCCCAAAAGCCCAAAATCTCAATTTTGTCCAGCGAGGAAGCCCGTCGCCTGCTGCAGTTGGCAAGCGACGCCTCCCTTCCAGATCTCAATCGGGCCCGTCGCCGCGTGTTGCACTGGTGTTGTGGGTACATGGTACAGGTGATATGTATGTATATACTCTATATATATACATACATACCTACATACATATATATATATATATGTATGTGTGTGTACATGTACATGTACATGTACATGCATCTGTATACATATAGTATACGCTTACTTATACGCATGCGTATATATACGTGTATACACATATATATATATATATACATATATACATATATACATATGTACATGTGTATGTACATGTATAAAGGCATACATATATAAACGAATTCATGTACAAACCGATAATTGGAGATCGTGTAAGTGCATCAATACATGTATATATATATATATATATGTATATGTATATGTTTGCTTCATCATACCATACTATAGAGAGCATAATATGGGCGAGCCTTCCTGCAGATCGGAAGACACGGGTTGGCTTGACACACAATGCTGATGCTCGTCACAGGTCAGGTCGATAAACCGTTAGAGTGCCATGCTGTAACAAGCCGCCGTCCGAACTGGCCTGTTGCATCGCGCGAATTTGAGGTCGGCTAGCGTTGCAGAAGCATCCGGACAAGGTGGCCTTTAGTGAACAGTAGGAGCGGTGCCGGTGCTGCACTTTCGCAAATCAATATTGAGCCAGTTCCCAGGGATCAGACCCATAGCCACTCGCGGCTGCATGGAGGGCTTGCTGTTGCCTTGAAGTGCAGGTGATGCCCTCCTTGCGATCCTACGCTCACAAAGAGTGGTTGAAGTCGTCGAGCTGCAGTAAAAGATGGTTAAGGGACGCCATGAGGACATGCTGCTAGAAGGAACCTGTCCGTCCTGCGCGGGGCTTCGGGCAGATGCTGAGTGTCCATTTCATGTGGATTCTGAGACTCTGAGACATGATGTGGGTCACATCTGAGAGAAGTTAAGTCCTGCAAAACGTTGCGCTGACATGCTGGCAGGAATGCATAGCAAAAATGACAGAAAGCATGCTTGGCTGGGGGAAGCTCTTGACCAACCTCCGTCGATGCAAGGATCGATGCGGCGTACAAGATCCTGAAAATGGTGATGGAGTGATTTTGATGTAGCCACTATGGAGCATGTGCTGCGCTATTGTGGCAGTTGCGCATTTGAGGGGTTTGGGGTTGCAACAGCCTCCTGGGAACATAGCTGCGTTTCTTGGTATGACCGCCATTTGGATAGATCTCAGCCTGAAGAGCTCAGGAGGCTTGCGGCAACGTCATGGATGCATGATGTTGCACCTCGTTGAACTTGTTTAATGGAGGACCTCATTGATGGGCGTCAATCAGATGAGGCTCCGAGAGCCTGAAGAAACCGAAAGCATGATGACACGTTCTTCGGGGGAAAAGACCACCATTGCCAGGGTCACTGCTTCCAACAGCCCTTAGGACTAGGCTGCAATGACAGCGGCAAGCAAATGCCCCCACTGTTGAATGCGGGAAGATCCATCAGCTCAGCGATGCGCTATGGCAGCCAACTGCTCGAAGCCACGTGTGGATCTTCCGTGAGCCCTTGTCCAGTGCACCATGGAGTCAGAGAAGGTGACCAGGGCACTTGAACAGTGCAGATTTTTGGAAATGTGTTTTGTGTGTTCAAGTTTTTTTGGGCCTTCAGTTGCCTATTCTTCAGAACATTTCTCAAGTGGGACCCCAGGTGGCCATCATTGGTGCCGGCTGGAACGGCCTGCAGACTTTGCAGAGCCTGAAGGACAGGCGTTTGCGGATCCCTGGATCAGATTTCGGACGCCTTTCCGTTGGTATTCTGTTGGGGCCTGCTCGAGGTTGCTAATTCTTGGATGACTGGGCCCTGAAGGCAAAACGTCGTAGGTGCCCACCGCGCAGGAGTTAGGGGTGGAGGCGGAGGTCTTCGAGAGCCGTGCCTCAGTGGGCGGCACTTGGACCACGGACATGAGCTACCACGGCTTGCAGGTACACAGCCCCATGTTCACGATGCCTGGATAGAAAAGTGTGTTTGCAGATTAGGTTGCAGGTTGCTGATCCGCCGAATTTGCGTTTGCGATCAGATCCGACTTCAAGCTTGCTAGTCCAACACTTGTGTTGGAGGTATGCGCGCAGGTAGAACCTACATGACCTACATATACGCCGCACCCTTGCAGCCCCAAAACCTTCGACTCTCAACACCAAGACCTTAAAGCCCGAAGCCCAAAGCCTTGATTAGACCTTGGGAACCTGGGAGGGGGGGTACCTAATTTTGGGGTCCTTATAATAAGGATCCTACGATTTAGGGTACCGTACTTGGGTCCCCTATTTTCGGAAACTCCCACCTTGAGGAATCTGATGACCTTCAAGGGCCAAGCCTTCCCTTACAAGGGGATGACTGAGGACCGCCTGGGCTTTCCTCTTTGGAAGAGCCCTGAACCCTTGAAGTCTTGAGCCACCACCTCAAACACCCCAAGCCCAAATTCTTAAACAGCACACCTTGCATTTTCCAGACCCCGAAGGCCCTCAGGGCCTAAGCCCAAAGCTCCGAAGAGGACAACTTGCGTGAGAAGATGGATGCCGGGTCTGTGAGGGAATACCTGGAGAGCTTCTGGGCTCTTGTGTTTTACTTGCCTGGAGCTCCGATAGCCTTGAGGATAAAACCTCTCTTTAAGCAAGGGATGGAAATACAGAGTTGATATGAGGGTTCTGACGGATTGAATAGGGTTGATGAGGGTTTTTGGAGGGTTACTGTAGGAGAGCTGCTGTGGCTCTCGTCAAGGAATTTGAACTCATGTACGGTGGCCGTTGGTTCTGATGTGCGAATACTAAAATAAGGCGGAGGTGCAGTAGGTAGTCAACGATATGCAAGCTTTTCGATGATAACTTATGCCAACCTAGAGCGCCTTTCTAGAACCCTTAAAGGAACCTCGGTAGAAACCCCAGACAGACCATAAACCCTAAACCCTAAAATCCTCAACGTAAGAGCTCAGGCTTTGCCGAGAAGATGGAGCTCAAGGGGATGATCCACCTGAACAGCAAGGTTAAGGCAGGGCTTCAGTTCTGCATGTTTGGGGGTTTTAGGCCATTGTATGTTGTTTTTGTTTGTTTTTGGTTTTGGTAGGGCTTCTGGGTTTTTTGGACTAGGATTTTGTGATTTGCAGGTTCTGGGTTGTGGGATTGGGTCTTAGGTGGTTTGGAAAGTTTTTGGGATTGATAGGATGAGACCATGTTGCCGATTTGGCCGCCCATATGCGTGAAGAGTTGTAACACGCTTACCATAACCTATTGAATGATACTCTCTCCTTGTTGAATCACGCCCCCTACTCGCCCCCCTACTTCAAGGATGAGGGCAGTAAGTACGTCGCTTTGTTTTGCATGTCCCCAGCTACAACCCTAGCTGCACCCTCCTTTCTGAGTCTGGTGAGCCTCCAAGTGGGTTCTACAAACGATGCCAGGCCTGTGTGGTCTGATGCCGATGAGTAGGTCAGCATCGCTGTAGCCCTCATGCCCAAGAACCCCGAAGCCCCAATCATAAGAAGAAACCATGAAGCCCTAAACCCCCAAACCCTGAAAGCCAAACCCTGAAGCGCCAAACTTTCAGGAGATCCGCTACCACTCCAAGTCGCAGAAGGCCTACCTCCTCGTGGAGAGCGATGGAGCCGAAGTGCAGGACTCAGCGCCCTCCTTTAAGGGGAACTAGAAGAACTTACAGCTCTTTGTTTGGGGCCTGGGGCTTTCAGGGTCACTTCATAGGATCACTTTCTGATTCTGTATGTTGTATGTGTGTGTGTATATGTATACGTATATGCATATGTCTATGTCTATGTATA